GAGGAAGAGGAGGAGGAGAAGGATGGAGGTGGAGGAGGAGGGGGTGGGAGGGGGTGGGAGGGGTGAAGGGGGGGGGGGGGCATGGAGCATGGGGCATGGATCGGCCTGCCTCCGAAGAGGCAGGCCCGAGAAGAGGAGCGGCGCAGCGGTGCCGCACGACAGACAGCGCTGCGTGGCGAGCCTGGCGCGCCGCGCGCACGCCCGGCGCTGCGCCCTGCCAGACGCCGCTGCGCTCTGCGGCGCTCTGCGGCGCTCGACGGCCGGCCACCAGGAAGCATCGCCACGTGGCCTCGGACTTGGAGCAGCAGATGCTCCGATGAAGATGCAGGAGGAGGACGAGGAGGAGGAGGAGCAGGAGGAGGAGGAGGAGGAGGAGGAGGAGGAGGAGGAGGAGGAGGAGGACGTGGTCGGGGGAGGAGGAGGAGGAGGAGGAGGAGGAGGAGGAGGAGGAGGAGGAGGAGGAGGAAGACGTGGTCGGGGGACCGAGCAGACAAATGCGCAGCGTGCGCGTGAAGAAATCTCCAGCGCCAGGAGCGAGTGGCAGTTCTTCAGCCCGATCGCGACGAGCTCGGAAGAACAGCGCCAGGACGTGCTGGAACTCGTCCGACGGGGCCGCCAGGAGCCACAGGCGCAGCAGGCGGGGCCACGAACGCTTCCACTTCCAAGATCGCCTTCGCGAGGAAGATGCTGATCAGAGAGCCGTCCAGCGTCGGCGTCAGCTGGGTCGGTGCCTGCGGCAACACGACGGTCCGCGCGGAGGGCCGAGGCCAAGGCCGCGCCTCGCAGCGCAGGGCGGCAGCCGCGGTGCCGGAGGGCGGCGAGCCCGCGCAGCAGAGACTGCGGTGCCCGCACCTGCGCCCGCGCAGCTCGGGCCCGCCGTTCGGCAGCAGAGCGACGCGTACGCCCAGCGCGCCCAGGGGGGCCCGTGGCGCAGGAGGGCGGGGGGCGGGGGGCGCCGATGGCGCGGGGGGCGCCGAGGGCGCGGGGTCGCGAGCCGTCTGGGTCGGCGCTGAGGCGGGGAGCGAGGGGGGGGGGCAGGAGAAGGGAGATGATGAGGAGGACGACCAGATGCATACACGATCTTGCGATAGACCTCCCGTCCCACGTCATCTCGTCACGCACCCCTACTAGTCCTCCTACAAGGAGCGCCCCCCATTGAACGACCAGCACAGTTGAGCCTGCTATGTTGGCGACGGCCCTGCTTTGAGAAGGAATCGTTTTGAATTCTAACGGGTGTGATCAGAAACGCGAAGAGAAAATAACAGAATGTTCAACGAGGTTTCTGGCGATATTCCCCTTTCGAAGAAGGGCCCCCCGCATCTGTACAATTGTGATCAATGTTGGTACAAACACAAACTTACAGTTGAGGTCACGAACTTCGAGGGCGTCTCAAGCGACACGCCCACTTTGAGAAAGAGCCGCCATATATCCGTGCAACTCTACGTGGTTTGAAGCTTCGGAAGCTTGAATGTTGCGAAATCTTCGAGCTGAGCTCCAATGTGAATATCCAGTCATCCATCACCCTGCTCAACATTGCATGTAAGAGTGAGTGCGCGATGTGCTAAAGCGAAGGCCACAGGCCACACATTGAGGACGACGGCTGCCCAATCCTTGAAGCTGTTGCAAGATTTTAAGACGAATGTTCGCGTCGCCAAGGCGAGAACCACATGTCGAAATCCATCCGATTTGAACCGTGAAGTTGCTGCTGACTTCTAACACGGTTTTGCGCGGCGCTCTTTGGCGAGAACAACATTTTTGAAACGACCCTGATCCGTAACATTGCTGCACTGAGACTTTTTGGACGAGTGTGCGCAGAGCTCAGGCGAGAGCCTCATTTTGAAAACGCACCCCCCTCCATGAAGCTGTCGTAAGTCATCATGCCTCAGGATCATGAGTGGTAAGGGAGTCTAAGGTGAAACGAGTGGCCCGCCCTGCCGACACGTCTGCAGGCGCGAGAATGATGCATTATCTACAATGGAAGAGGATGGAGATTGAGGAGGTGAAGAGGGAGTGGGAGGTGAGGATTGTGGAGGTTAGGGGAAGGGAATGACAAAGTAACGAGATGTGTCGGGGGAAGAAGACGAGCCAGGAGGACCTGGAAGAAGGGATAAAATGGTTGGGAGAAGGGAAAAGGCACAAGTGATGACGGCGGCGACGACGACGTTGAGGAGGAGGAGGAGGAGGAGGAGGAGGAGGAGGAGAAGGAGGACAAGGAGGAGGACGAGGAGGAGAAGGAGGAGGCGCGGCATGTGCAGAGGAGGAGGAGGAGGAAGAGGAGGAGGAGGAGGAGGAGGCATAGGAGGAAGAGGTCGAGGAGGACGAGGAGGAGGAGGAGGAGGAGGAGGAGGAGGAGGAGGAGGAGGAGGAGGGGGAAGAGGAGGAAGAGGAGGAGGACGATCAGGAGGAGGGGTAGGGGACGAGGACGAGGACGAGGACGATGATGAGGAGGAGGATGAGGAGGATCTCGCACGTTTTACGACGGTCAGCGCTTGCGGCGCAGCCCGCGGAGTAAAAAAAAGAGGAGGTGGTGGATGCGGGAAGGTTCTGCTTGCTCCAGGATGTTGGACACATTCCGCAGTCATGAAGGTCATGAGGGTGGAGGAGTAGAAACGTGAGGGTGCGGCTGGGGAGCACGAGCAACGGCAGGAGACACGGGAGGAGGAGGAGGAGGAGGAGGAGGAGGGAGGGAGGAGGAGGAGGAGGAGGAGGAGGGAGGAGGAGGAGGAGGAGGAGGAGGAGGAGGAGGGAGGAGGAGGAGGAGGAGGAGGAGGAGGAGGAGGAGGGAGGAGGAGGAGGAGGAGGAGGAGTGGAGGAGGAGGAGGAGGAGGAGGAGGAGGAGGAGGGAGGAGGAGGAGGGGAGGAGTGAGGGGCAGGGAGGAGGAGGAGGAGGGAGGAGGAGGAGGAGGAGGAGGAGGAGGAGGAGGAGGAGGGGGTGAGGGGCAGGAGGAGGGGGTGAGGGGCAGGAGGAGGAGGAGGAGGAGGAGGAGGAGGAGGGGAGGAGGAGGACGACGACGACGGTGACGCCCACCCCCGCCCTCGCTCCCCCCGGCGAGGCCCGCGCCAGGAGGACCCTGATTTCGGACCTCTACTCCAAGGCGCGGGCCACCCGCCTCTCCGCGCGGCGACCAGGCAAAAGGTCCTAAAGGTGCCCCCTGGGGCCGAAAAGTATCGCCCCCCCCATTTATTTAAGCACCGCCCAACTCCCGGCCCGAGGCCTCCGCGGAGGCGCCGCGGGTCTCGGGCATGCGCCCGCGGAGACCTGCAGGAGCAGAAGACGTGGGGTCCAGCGCGGGTTTTCCTGGCCGGCGGTGAGCCCCCCTCCCCGCCACGCTCGGCGGCGCCGGAGGGTGAGGGCCCAGCGCCGGCCCAGGTGGCCCGCGTGTGCCTCCCAGAGGGCAGACCCGTGCAGCTCTTGTTTTTCTCAGGGGGGGGGTTCGGGTCCGGGCCTCCAGCAGCCGAGCGACGTCCCGTGGGGTCACGGGGTCCGCGCTGGCGGGCATGCCCTCACTTGTTGTCGCGCTGTCGCGCGCCGGGCCCCATCAGGGCTGACTAAAGGGGACCAGTCGCCACGGGGGAAAGAGGCCGTGTGGGAAAGGAGTCCTGGGTTGTGGGTCAGTCCTGGGATTTCGTAACAGCGCACAGCCCACACTGCGTTATAATAGGCGCGCGCATGTCGATGCCCCTTATGTTCTTGCTAACCGCATCATCTGAACTACTTAGTAATAAACCCTTGATGACGAATCCTCAGTCAGGAACCCTTAGTCGGGAACCCTTAGTAAGGTGTCCTCACAGGGGAGTCCTTACGAAGTCCTTAGTAGCACGTCCGTGTAGGCGCTCTTCTTCGAGAATCCCTGTAAGGAGTATTCAGTGACGGATCATTCGTAGGGAACCTTTGGTAAGGTATCTTTAGTAAGCTATCATTACGAGGATATCCTTAAAAAGGATTCCGTAGTCTTAAGTGCTTAGAACGGCACCCTTATAAGGAACCCTCACGAAGTAACCCCTTGATAAGGAAGCGTTCATCACGGATCCTGCGCATTGGAATCCTTCTTGTTCATTCCTCAGTAGCGCCTCCTGAGTAAGGACTCCTCAGTATGGGGATCCTTAGGGAAAGAGTTATGTGTAAGGGATCCTGAGTGTGAAATCTTCCGTAAAGAATTTGTAGTAAGGAGTTTGCAATCAGGAATTTTCTAGTATGGAGTCCTCAGTAAGGATTCCTTATGAAGGAGTCCTTGGTAGGGAACTCTGACTTACGCTTCCTTATTTGAGAACCCTCAATCCAGAACCCTTGAAAGGGAACCCTGACTGAAGAACACTTTACAAGGAATCCATCGTAAGTAACCCGTCGTAAAGAATATTGCGGCAAAGGATCCTGACAAAAAAAACCTTACTATTGTGTCCATACTATGGGGTCCTTAGTAAGGTATCCGCAGAAAGGAGTTCGCAACAACAGATCCTCAGTAAGGATTCCTTGTTAAGAGATCCTCCGTAGACAATCGATCCGTCAAATCAAATTCTGACAAGGGAATTTATAAGAAGATCCCTTGGTAGCGCTTCCCAGGTAAGGACCCCTTATTGAGGAATCCGTAGTAAGGAGTTCTTTGTACGGAATCCTGAATGAGAAGTCTTTCGTAAGGCACCTTTCGTAAGGAGTTCTCAGTAAGGAACCCTTAACAAGGAATCCTGAGTAAGGAATCCCTAGAAGCAGACGGACACAAGCCTGGCAAAGCCAACCCGGCACTATTTTACCATATGAGCAACGACTGGCGGTTTTGTGTCCATGGAGACGGTTTCTGCGCGCTGGGGGGCGACGAGGTTTTGGATGACCTGGAGGGAACGCCCCGGTCCAGGCATGACTTGAAGGTTGCGGAAAGCCTTTGGTTTGAGGTTGGGAGCGACCAAGACAAGATAGTCATGAGTCGGAATTTGCTCGTTGCCAGGCCGCCAGGGGGCCAGGAAACGAGAGGTGCGAGGTCGAAGCAGACCTCCGCCTTGCCAGGATGATCGCGGCAGAGGCCGGGCCTGCAGGAGAGAGCACGAAAGCTCGGAACACGCCCGGCCTAGAGAAAGAGGAAACAGAGTGCGAGCAGAGAGAAATTTCACCTCACTCACAGGAGATGCTGTCAAGCAACGCAGGGGCTTGACGATGCGAGCAGCTTATCTCGCACCATATCGTGCAGACATATGACACGTACTCAAGAACTTGGCAAAGTAAGTGCGTTTTCCGAGGCAGACGAAATGCCAAATACCTCAAGGGGCGACCGCGCGTCGTGCAGAAGTTCACTAGAGACAGGATCGCTGGCAACGATGACGTCGTCAAGGTGGTGATCATGGTGGACGGCGACGACGCTGGAGAGAAGGTGCTTCGGATGTCAGCATTTGGCCAACTTGCCTTTGGTGGCAAGCACGTGGCCAAGCACATGTGCAACGTCTTGCAGGCGATTGGTTTGTCGTCTGGCGAGAACGAGTACTATGCCATAGGCGCGAGTAGATGCGCAGGACGCGGCATCAAGGGTATGTTAGAGGACTGGAATGTGGCGTGCAAGCTGAAGGTGGTCTCTGACCCATCAGCGGCATGAAGCTTTCCTTCGAGGAGAGGAGTGGGAAAGCAAAAGCACATCCAGACACGAGACTTCTGGGTGCAGGAAAGGCTCGCGATGAGACGTTGGCACGGAAGAAATAATAAGGGCCGACCTGCTCACCAAGCCATTTACGAGGAAGGATTTCCAGGATCGCGTGAAAGGAATCTACCAGGACTTCGCGGGAAGGGCGAGCGCAGTCTGGCTTGCGCCTGCTCTGACCCGACCGCAGCCAGGAGGCGAAACGCACGGCGCCGAGCACGAGCTCGACACTGCATGCCTGGCTGTGGGCAGGCCTTGCGCTAGGTGCGCAACCGCACCTGGAGGCGGGAAGCTCCGCACTGGGCCAGGGCCCAACGAAGCATCTAGCTGCGGGTGAACCCCGCGCCGGGTGCACGACCGAACCTGCAAGCGGGAAGCCCCGCTTCAGGCTAGAGCCCAACGAAGCGCCTATCGGCGGGTAGCCCCGCGCCAGGCGCGACGCTACTGAGCATTGAACGCCTTGCCACTGCTTGGTCGTGGATCGCCACAGTTCCGTTACCTTTTTCTGCTGGATGGAGCTGACAAAACGCCGCGAGACGGGGTGCAGCCCGAATCGCAGCGAGGAGGGGGAGCGAATAGGTTCACATTCTGACGTTTGTAGTAGCAGGAGTGTGGAGTAGCAGGCAACACCAGCGCAGCATGCAGCATGTTGCGTCCGCAGCCCCTTTCGGTAAAAGAACTCCTCCTCCTCCTCCTCCTCCTCCTCGTCCTCCTCCTCATCCTCCTCCTCTTCCTCCTCCGCCTCCGCCTGGTTTGTGGGTGGGGCGGGCCCCTGTTTTTTCCCACCGCCGGAGAGCGGCGTCAGCGCCTCAGCCACCCTGAGCCTCGCCGGGATGGGCCGTGGCCGACACGGCGGCGCCTTCCGCCCTCGGCTCCGCGCCCCCGATGGGCCCGTGCGTCCCTCTCCTCCCCCTGCCCCTCCAACATCCTCATCCCGCCTCGTTGTCCTTGCAGCCTTCCCCCATTCTCCCCTTCCCCGTTCCCCCCCCCCCTCCCCCCTCCCCCCCCCCCTCCCCCCTTCCCCCCCCCCCGCCCTCCTCCTTCCTCCGCCCTCCTCCTTCCTCCGCGCCTTGCTGCTTCCTCCTCGCCTTGCTGCTTCCTCCTCGCTCTTCCTCTCTCCTGGTCCTGCCCCCCCTCTGCCCGTCCGGCCTCGCTCCTCCGTCCTCCTGCCTCCCTCCGTCCTCTGCCCCCCTCTGGTCGGGCAGCCCAGTCGGCGAGCTCCGCGCGACGCGCCCGCACCTCGGGGGGGCAGCCAGGCGGACGAAGGGGAGAGGGATGGGGACAAATGTGAGCCCAGGTGTCATCACAGATGTCGCAAGAACCCCCCCTCCAAGTTCCTGCGTCACAAGTCCATACACGAAGCTGTTTTCGCTTCGGGAAGTGCCAGCCAGCTGAGTCTTGAACCGTGCGCAAGCACCGTTCCTGGGACATCATCGCCGCGAGTCAACGTGAGCGTTGCGTGCTCACGATCCTGAGTCGTATCATAACACCACTCGTGGGGCTTCAACACCGCTGGACATTCCTACATCGTGCCACGACATCGTCTTTGGGGCGTCAACCATAGTGACATTCGAATTTGCTGCATGTAGTCAAGATGAAGGCACGTGGCACTGACGCGAGAGCCATATTTTGAAAAGGGGCCGCCCACCATCCTTGATTTGCTGCATAATTGTAAGACGAGTGTACGCGGCACTGAGGCGAGAGCCACATTCTGAAAACGGTCCGCACTCCATCCTTGAAACGGTTGCAAATTGTCAAGACGAGTGTGCGCGGCGTTTAAACGAGAGCCCCATTTTGAAAACGGCCCGCCCTCCATCCGTGAAACCGCTGCGAACTTTGATTATCAAGATCGTACATTGTGAGGAAATCTCGTGCGGAACGCCTGGCCCGCCCTACCGACGCGTCCTGGGATGCGACAGGGAGGAGTTCTTTATAAGGAATAAGGATTGAGGAGGAGGAGGAGGAGGAGGAGGAGGAGGAGGAGGGGAGGAGGGCGAGGAGGAGGAGGGCGAGGACGAGAGCGAGGAGGAGGAGGAGGGCGAGGACGAGAGCGAGGAGGAGGAGGAGGAGGAACCAGGGCCCTCCAGGCGAACGCGCGGCGGTCCGGAGCAGGCCGCGCGCCCGACAGAGCGGCCCGCGTGGACGCGAAGCGCGCGGCGCCCCCCGCCGCCTGGCCGCCCGCCCTGGGGGCCGCGCCAGGTCAAGGCAGAGGGCGTGCCCATCGAGGGCTGGGTGGAGTGGATCCGCGGCCAGCTGGCGCCCGAGGACGGCTGCCCGGCTGCAGCCCGGGTGCAGCCCCGAGCCGTTGCAGCTTCTGCCCGCAAAGGGCAGAGAGAGAGAGAGAAAGACGGAGAGAGCGAGAGAGAGAGGGAGAGAGACAGGGAGAGAGAGAGAGTGAGAACAGCAGCATGATGGAGGGAGAGTGGCAGATGAAGAAGGGGCTTATACTGCAGTGCGAGCGGAACAGGTCCCAAATCCAGAGAGTTCCGATTGGCCCATAGATTTGCAGTAAGACTACATTCTGAATGGAGCAGACCCCAGATTCAGGTCATTCTTTGCTGCATCGAGATAGATAAGAGGATTCCGATAGGAACGGAGCAGACGTCAGATCCAGGTGATCCGTGGGTTCGAAAATAATTTTGAATACATGGCTGATATCCTTGCATGTATTACGTTGTTGATTCTTGTTGTATGGATATGATTTTCCCTTGTTGTACAATGTATCTTAGTTGTTTCCTTAACGCATGTATTATGTGTTTGCTCCATGATGCGATACTAATGCTCTGGTCTTCTGATGTATTGATTATCGTATTGCTTTCTGTTGTATTGAGTATATGTCGATGTCTTGTTGTGTCGTGTCTGTTGTACATATTTCCTTAGTATTCCCTGCTATATGTCTTATATGATTGTTTACTGGTGTTTTTCGTAGAGTATCGTTTCCTGTTGCGTTGGTTCACTTGTTGCGTTCTGTTGATATGATGTTCTTGTTGTCTGGGTTCACTGTTTGCTTCCTAGTGCATGGGTAATCTTACGGATTCCTTCTGAGTTGATTACTTGTTTGTGTCAAGTTTATTGTTTTTCGTTGTTTCTCGTTGCATGGATCCTCTTATGGTTCCCTGTTGTACGGATGTTCTTGTTGTTTCTTGTGGTACGGATTTTCTGATTTGATTCTGAATGAAACAAATTTCAAAACCGCGTGAAACACAGAACAAACCCAAATTGTTTGAAACATTCACAAAACCATCGGTAGAAACAGACGTATGCTTAAGAGGTTTCAAACGAATCAACCAAAAATCCACAACCACTCGAAACATGAAGACAGACATATCAAGACCACAGAACACGCATGAGGGAACCCCCAACCATTAACCCACGCCTCAAAGTTGTTTAAAACGTTCAAACAGACACATGCAGACATACAATGCATTAGAGGCACCCACACAATTAAACCACACATCACCCACCAAACTAAGACACAAACAAACCTTGATACATAACAGACAAGCAAGCGGAAACATCAAAACAACTCACCAGAAGGATTACCAACGAATTCAACAAATTTCACCGAATTCTCCAGAAACGCTTGAGGAGCTCCCTGAACAACTCCAGAACTCAAAGGGTTTGGCCACCATCTCCTGTGAGTGTCTGCAAGAATTCAAAAACTAACGAATTGCCAGAGGATATGCAATGGATATTATGTGTGCGGCTGAGACAGCTTCATTCTCGTTTGTACGCTATCTTGCAGTGTTTGCTGTTTGTGTAGTTCTTGGGGCCCTCAGCATGGGTGGTGGCCAGGCGCTCCTATGAGTTGTTTTATTCTCGGCTGACATATCCTGCCTTTGGGGGGGTTTCCGATTTTCTAATTTGAGTTGTTGGGGGTTCTCTCAGGCGGCGTTTCTCTGTTCTTCTGGTTTGTGTTGATATAGATCATGGGCTTTTGTATGATGTGACGTGTCGTGTTGAGTGTTTCACGCGGTTTTGGAATTTATTTTCTTTATCAAGCGTTTGTAGTGTCACAGGATGTTTGTCTGAGTGTTTCAAGCGGTGTTTTGATTTGGGATGATTTGTTATCGGGCCTCTCAAGCGTTGTCTGTGTTGCAGGCGGTTTTATGACAGTGGTTGATACATCTTTGAATTTTGAAGACTTACATTTGGAAACACAAAGGGAATCAGCACATCGGGAAACAACACGAACATGTATACAGCATGAACATATTGAAACCATTTATGCAGCAGTAAGCAATAAATCAAACAATACCGAACCCGCCAGGGAATAATTCATACAACAGGAAACTTGGTATATCCCATACAACAGGAAACCTCACTATTATCCACGCAACAGGCAACCAATACCACAAACAATAAAACATAACACAAGAAGAGGATACGCAGCTATGTTGGGTCCGCAGCGGGTGGCTCAGGACGAGACTCGTTTGGCATCGGGGAGAGACGGCCCCGGCACCGCGCACTCTGAGATTTCTGGATTGAATTCGGGTTTTTCATCCCTGGCAGTTTTTGCGAATTTGCGGCTTGCCGGTGGTTTATCAGGGTGGCGCAGCACCGTGGCATTTTTCGCGACAGCCATGGGTGCAGAGCGGGAAGAGGATGCAGAGCGGTGGTCGGAACTACGCAGCTTGGCCTAGCCGCTCGCTTCACAGGAACAAGGTCTTCTGCGCGGAATGTCCGAGGCACCTGTTCCAGGATCGGCCCAGATCGGCGGGACATGCGCGTCTTTGCGGAGCGCACCGGGGTCGGCAGCACGATCGAGTGGATGGCTGGGCATCGCGCGCTTGGAATGGCGAGGACAACGACCCGAAAGACAAGAGCTCCTGCCTCCATGGGGCCCTGCGGAGGCTGACGGGTGAGGGAAGGACTCGGTGGTTCGTCCATCCGTTGAAGACCGAGCTGCTGCTCTGGCCTGCTCACAAGATGAAACTGATACCTTTGCTTGACTCCCATACTGATGCCACCCGACTTGGCGAGGGAGCCCATTGTGCACGATGGTGATAGCACTGGTTGGCAACCGAATCCGCTCCAGTAATGCAAGACCTCTGTCCACTCAGCCAAGGCGTGAAGTTCAGGCACGATGACTGTGCCGTAGACCCCCTCCCTCTCTCTCTGGGGCCCCAGCCTGACAGGGGGCTCCGCGTGCGCGGCGTCTCGCCGCCGTCAGAGGCTGGACTCGTCGCTTGCCCTCCTCTCGTGCCCGAGCTCTGCCTCACGATGCACAGCTCCTCGCCGTCGCCCCACACTGGACTCTCATCGCTTGCCTTCCCCTCGGTGCCCGAGCTCTGCCGCTCTTCCACCCACCCGACCAGCCCAGAGCTCCGAGGCGGGAATTTGCACATGACCACCGCCTGGAGGGTCCATTTTCGGAGCGTCGGCAGGCGGTGGACATGGACATCTTCGGGCCCCCGGAGGGCCGTCCACATGTATGTGTGTATGTATATGTATATATATATATATATATATATATACACAAGATATTGTTGGCTCGCTTCGCTTCGCCACAACATATTGTCCCTCATCCTCATCCTTGGCGCAGGAGCGCGGGTCTGGTACCTCGCCGCGCTATGTGGTCACAGAGTGTGGCGAGCTCGTGAGCTTTCATTGCCATAGGGCTGTGAACTTGATGTTTGTCGCGAGCTCGACGGCTCAGGGCTGCGTGGGTGTGTGTTTTTGTAAGGAGTGAACATGTTTGGAATTGAAGAACCACCCGACGGGCCGAACCAATTTGTGGTTCACGTCGACGGCTGTTTTTCTTCGGGGCCCCGGATGGGAGCGTTTGGCGCTCTGCGGGCACGCTGGCGCCGAGGGGCCGTCGTGTGCGTGCGTGTGTGTGTGTGTGTGTGTGTGTGTGTCTGTTTTCGTAAGGAATGAGCATGTGCGCGGACGAGGAGCCACCCGACAGGCCGAGCCAATTTTTGGTTCACGCTGACGGTTGCTTTTTCTTTTTCGTGCTCGGGATGGGGGGCGTCTGGCGCCCTCCGGCCACGCTGGCGTCGAGGGGCTGTCGTGGGTGTGGGTTTTCCGTCAGGAGAGAGCATGTCCCGGGGCGCGGAACCACCCGACAGGCCGCACCAATTTTTGGTTCACGTCGACGGTTGCTTGTTTTTTTTCGGGCCCGGGATGGGGGGCGTCTGGCGCCCTCCGGGCACGCCGGCGTCGAGGGGTTGTCGTGGGTGTGGGTTTTCGTAAGGAGAGAGCATGTCCCGGGGCGCGGAGCCACCCGACGGGCCGAACCAGTTTTTGGTTCACGTTGACGGCTGCTTGTTCTTTTTCGGGCCAGGATGGGGGGCGTCTGGCGCCCTCCGGGCACGCCGGCGTCGAGGGGTTGTCGTGGGTGTGGGTTTTCGTGAGGAGAGAGCATGTCCCGGGGCACGGAGCCACCCGACGGGCCGAACCAATTTTTGGTTCACGTCGACGGCTGCTTGTTTTTTTTCGGGCCCGGATGGGGGGCGTCTGGTGCCCTCCGGGCACGCTGGCGTCGAGGGGCTGTCGTGGGTGTGGGTTTTCGTAAGGAGAGAGCATGTCCCGGGGCGCGGAGCCACCCAACCGGCCGAACCAATGTTTGGTTCACGTTGACGGCTTCGTTTTTGAGAGCGTGACCACCTCGAATGGTTCACGTTGGCAAGGATAGCCCACAACGAACGCAAATCACCTCTAGTCGGCGTATGGACATGCCGGCAGTCTGCGGGGCAGCCGCGGTGCAAGCGATGCACGCGCGGGTCGCTCGGTTGCGTTGGCGGACTGCGAAGTCCAGCCGCGGGACGTCCTGGTCGCAGCGAGTGCAATGCAACGTGTCTGCGCTGGGACGTCCGCGAGAGGCTGGCCTCTTGCGCACGGCGGGGGGTCAGTATCACCCGCGCACGTTGCTGGAAGTGCAGGACGCAAGTCAATGAAACCAGTGATGGAGGCACCTGCAGCAGCAGCAGCAAACAACATATGTGAGGAACTGCGGCGATTTGTGGAAGTCGTCCGCCATGATCTCAATCGGCGTATGGCGAGGCGGAACATCAGTTGAATCCTGGGGGTCAAAGGCTACGGAACATCAACCGCAGCCTCGCGCGTCCGAAGTGTATACGTCGTCTCTGTTCGTGGAGGCCTCATGGATGGCTTCTCTCGGACGTCCTGGGGGACTGTTGGGGCCTCTTGGGGGCCTCCTGGGGCTGTGTTCGAGCCTTCTGGGGGGTATCCTGGAGCCGAGGGGCCGAAATGTCGGGTCGGATCCTGTCGTGGAGCCTTTCTTGGAGCCTTTTTGAGGGTCTCCAGGGCCGTCTTGGGAGTCTTTTGCACCGTCTTGGGGCGTCTTGGGCCGTCTTGGGGCCGTGTGGGGCGTCTTGGAGGCCTCTTGGGCCGTCTTGGACGAACTGGGGCATATTTGAGCGATCTGTGGGCGTCTTGGAAGGCTTCTGGGGCCGGTCGGACCTTGGCGGTGATTTCAAGCATTCCCGGGATTGTCTTGAGCCCGCCCGGGGGGTGGCGAATTAGGTGACGCCCATCCGGGGGGGGGGTCCCTTATCATTTGATAGGGAAAGGGAATATATATATATACACATATATATGTATATGTATGTGTGTATATATATATATATATATATATATATATATATATATATATATCCACATCCGCAGCCCGCTAGGGCACCGGGACGTCGGTTCCCAGGCGGTGGATGTGGATCAATCCCCGCCTCGCCCGGAGGCCGTCCGCGGCGCCGCCGAGAAAGCGCGCGACCCCGAGGCCGCAGAGGCGGCGAGGCTCGGGCGGCGGGGCTTGCCAGCCTGGGGCCCGGCCAGCTCCGCAGCCCGGCGCCGCGCCTCGCTGCTGCCAGCGGCGGCGCTCGCTCTTGGTCTTGGCGCCTGGCCGCGTGCAGCCCCACCGTTCGCCCTTTTGTTTGGTTTTTGGTATTGGCGCGCTCGTCGTCGTCGTCGTCGTCGCAGTCTTCGTCGTCGTCGCAGTCTTCGTCGTCGTCGTCGTCGTGATCGTGATCGTCGTCGTCGTCGTGGCCACGACGTCGGCCACCTTGGTGCTGTGCTCCTCCAGCTGTGTTCCGGTGGCGCCGCAGCTCTCCTGCACCGCCCTTCTGGAGAGCACCTCGTTGGTCTCCCGGAGGCACGCCTTGGCGCCCGGCGCTTCTGGGCCCCGGGGGCACCGCCGGGGCGCGTGCACGCTGTGCGCCGTCATCGGCGAGGGCCGTCGAGGAGCCTCCCGGATCACCGAGTAGCAGAAGACGCACGCAGAGGCGCTACGGAAGAGTGGTATCCCTTTCCTGTCGGGGAAGGCAAAGGCTTTGAGCCACAATGGCTACGGAGGGGGGAGGTGCGGTGGGAGGGGGCAGACAGGAAGGTGGACGAAGCGGGGGTTGGCGGCAACGGGAATACTCGGGGAGGGGGATGTCGGCGGAGGTGGACAGCGTGATCGGGAAAGTTGGGAGCGAGGCGCTGTGGGGGGAGGGGGACGAGGGGAACTCCCGTTCAGGGCGGCGAATGACGAGGTGAAGAGAGGCTGGGGAGACGGCAGCCTGGAGGAGGCAGGCAAACAAGGGCAGAAGGAGGAGGGGGGAGGACAAGGAGGAGGACGAGGAGGAGGAGGAGGAGGAGGAGGAATCGGAGGAGGAGGAGGATGGACGAGGCCAGTAGCGTGGAGGGGGCGAGCAGGACCGCAGCAGCTGGTCTTCGGGGTTGGCGGCAGGAGGGTCGGTGGTGCGGGCGCGAGGACGACCCTGGCAGTGCACCCGCCATCCCCGTGCAACAGGAGATCGCCCCCCGTGTTCTGCACGGTTTGGGCGCGTCGCTGTTTCGGAAGAGTTTGGATGGAGAGAGAGAGAGAGAGAGAGAGATCGGGGAATCGTAAGACTCAAGTGCGCTATTCGACGAGCGCGTCCTGGATTTGACGGTCTGGTTTTCGTGGGATGTCTGCAGCGGGAGTTCGCGTCAGATTTCAGATTGGGTTTCAGCATGTGCATGATGGCCCCGTCAGGCCCACCCCCACCCGAGTCTCCCGAACTTGAGAGTCTCACGTCTCCCTGAAGAAGGAGGGGAGAGAGAGAGAGAGAGAGAGAGACGGTCAAACAGCTGCATACAAGAGAGAAAGAGGGAGAGAGAGAGAGAGAGAAGATCAAACAGCTGCATACAAGATACCGTCGAGGACGGCTGCGGCGAATCGCCGCCGCCCCCTGCCTTTTGGGAGCGCCCGTGTGGCCGAACGTGGCGGCCCGAGTTCGGTCAAACTATCGGACTGTGTGTGTTCCCCTAGCCGTCGTGGAAACCCTTCGGCGAACACGAGGTGGAGAAAAAGAAGAGTAGGAAACTGGAGGAAACAGGAGGAGCAGGAGGAGCGAAAGGCCTCTTGGGATCCTCTTGGGACACACTCTGGGCCTCCCGGGAGCTTCCCGGGGGTCTCTTGGAGGCCTCTTGGGGGCTTCCTTGGGCCTCTTCGGGGCCTTGAGGCTCTGTGGCCGGCTGAGGGCGTTCCTGGCCCGTCGAATGCCGTTTGGAGCCATCTCGGGGGCCTCTCTGGGCCGACTTGTGGCCTCCTTGGAGCGCTTCAGGGCCGTCTTGAAGGCCGTCTTGGGCGTCTTGGAGGTCTCCTGGGCCGTCTTGGGAGCCTCTCGGGCAGTCAGGCATGTGGGAGGCTTCTTGGGCCCCTTAGAGACGATCTTGAAGGCCGGGCCGGGCCGTCGGAGGGCCGAGAAGGAGGATGTGCTGAAGCCCATCAGGAATCTTAGGGTACAATGATTTTAGCCTCTTTAGGGCCTTCCCAGAGGACCTCTTGGAAGCCTCCTGGGCCGTCCTGGAGGCCTTCTGGAGGCTTCTTGAGCCGTTTTGGGCAATCTTGAGACCATCTTACGCCGGCTTGGGTGCATGTTGGACCGCCTTGGAGACATCCTGCAGCCATCCTCGGCTCTCTTGGGGCCATCCTGACCGTCTTGGAGGCCATCTTGGCCGTCTTCGAGGCAACACTAGGCCATCATATGTAGCCATCCTGGAGCGGAGTATTCTCACCGATCGTGCCTTCCGCGCGGATCCGGCGCGTGCGGCCGAGACCCCGCTGGGAACTTTCCAAGAGGACTAGGTACTACCAAAAACGCGGCACTCCTCCTCCTCCTCCTCCTCGTCCCTCGTCCTCCTCCCCCCTCCTCCTCCTCCTCCTCCTCCCCCTCCTCCTCCTCCTCCTCCTCCTCCTCCTCCTGCTCCTCCTCCTTTATGTGGCCAACTTTGGGAACTGTAGAATGTCTTTGAATTGGGTTCTTTGAAGATAGCAGCACTTAGCTGCACGAGCGCTTGCGGCCCCGATGGAGCCGCCGGTCTCCCTCGCGCGCCCGTGGTTTCACGGAGGTCCGCGACCCCGAGCCCTGATCTACATGCCCGTGGTCCAGATGGGGCTACACGGCCACTGAGTGCCACCAAACGGTAATTCTCGGAACCACTGACGGCCACCAAGCGCCACCAAATCGCAATTTTCGGAACCGCTAACGGCCGGCAAGTGCCACTAGATGGTAGATCTCGGGCAATCAAGTGCCGCCAAATGGTATTTTAATTCTCGGAGCCACTAACGGCCACTAAGTGCCACTAAATTGTAATTCTCGGAGCCAGTAGCGGCAGCTAGGTGCCACTAAATGGTAATTTTCGCTAAAGGCCACTAAGTGCCGCTAAACGGCCGATACAGGCCACTAGCGGCCACTAAGTGTCCCTAAATGGTAACTTTTGGCGGTCGCGATGGTCAATCCGAAGTTTTCAGAGAGCCCACATAATCTCCTCCTCCTCCTCCTCCTCCTCCTCCTCCTCCTCTCCGACACATGGTAGTGGTGGGAAATTGGCCCATCAAATGTGGCACGCCGCGCACCCTTGTGGCAAGCCGCAGGGGCGGCGGATCGAAGACGCCTACGGCGAGTCACCGCCGCCCCATGCCTTTTTGGGACGCGCCTCTGTTGCCAAATGTTTGGCGAGAGTTTGGCCAAGCTATCGGATGAGGAAGATGATGATGAGGAGGAGGCCTCTTGGGAGCCTCTTCGTGCACTCCCGGGGCCTCGTTTGAGCTTGTCGGGGACCTTTTGAAGGCCTCCTTTGGAGGCCTCCTGTGGAGGCTTTTTAGGGGCCTCTTTGGCGGCCCTGGGCGTTCCTGGCTCGTCCGACGCCGTCGGGAGCCGTCTCGGGGGCCTCTCTGGGCCGACTTGTGGCCCTCGTGGGGCGCTTCGGGGCCGTCTTGCAAGCCAGCTTCAGCGTCTCGGAGGCCTCTTGGGCCGTCCTGGGGCCCTCTTGGGGCCCGTCTTCGGGGCGTCTTGGGCTGTCATGGGGCCATCTCGGACGCCCCTTGGGGGGACGGCCTCTCGGGCGGCCTTGGGCCGTCGGAGAGCCGAGAAGGAGCAAATGCCCACATGTTTCAACGACCGGGGGGAAATCATGAATTGTTGCGCTCTTCGGGCCTTCCAGGAGGAACCCTTGGAGACCTCTTGGGCCGTCTTGGAGGCCCTTTGGGGGCCTCTTGGGCCGTCTTGGGCCATGTTGAGGCAGTCTTGGGGACATCTCGGCCCGCCTTGAAGACACCTTGGGGCCATTTGGGGCGCTCTTGGGGCCCCTCTTTGGCGTGGCAGCCTCTTCGGAGGCCTCTTGGCCATCTTGGGGCCATCTTGGGCGTGGAGGCCCATGGGCAACGACATTGGCAGGGCCTTGCGGGTGGCCAAGGCGGGTTGGGCCGAAGACCCACCGTTTTTTGGTTCCAACGTTCGGCACGCCGTGCATCCCCGCGCATTGTCAAACAACAGTCAGGGTATTTTTTTTTGTTATGTTTGAACACGGTTTGAGTATTTTGAATTTTTCGTCCGAAATCCGCCTGTAGGAGGACGTGCCCGACCCAAATCCAGTGGTCTCATCCCGCCACCGTGCCTGGGTTGAGGTCAGATGCCATTGGGATGCCTGCGGGGATCTCTTGGGAGGCGTCTCGGAAGCTTCTTGGATTCGGTGCTGGGGTGTCTTAGGGGCCTCTCGGGGGTCCCTCGGGGGCCTATTGGGGCCAGATTCGGGCCTCTTGGGGGCCTCCTGGAATTTGTGGTGGGCCTATTTGGGGCCCGTTTGCGGTCTCGTGGGCCACCTTGGGGCGAAGGGCTCGAAATGTCGGCTCGTGTTCCCTCTCTGGGGCCCATCTTGGGCCGTCTTGGGGGCCTCTTGGGCCATCTTGGGCCGTCTGGGGGCGCTTTTGGGAGTCTTTTGCGTCGTCTTGGGGCCACCTTGGAGGCCTCTTGGGCCGTCGTGGAGCGCCGAAAACCCGAGAAGACGAGACCACTAAAACCAGTCAGAACCACAATAAATCAATGATCTGGACATCTCGGGGCCCTCTTGGGGGACCTTGGAGCGACCCTTGGGCGTCTCGGGGTCAGCTTGGGCCGTCTTGGAGGCCTCTTGGCTCTTCTTGGGCGCCCCTCCCTGGCATCTGGAGCAGTCGCGCGGCCGACCCTGGGAGCGCCGGGGGAGCGCTCGAGGGTGGGGGCCGTGGGCCCCTGGAGTATTTCCAGCATGTGACGCAGAGAACTCGCACGCAGGGGTGGCCTTGGCCGCCCCCCCGAGGACGACGGCGGTGCTGCTGCAGTGCCAGCGGGGGTGGCATAGGCGGCCTGGCGGCCCCTGCCATCCCACCTTCCCTCTGCCCCGCTTCTCGGCGGCTGGCTGGGCTTGGCCGGCGGCCGCCTGCCGCCTGACCTGCTGCCTGTGGCCAGGCTTGGCGGCGGCGGCGGCCTCTCTCGGCTCAACTGTTTGGTTCGTTAAGGGCTACGCGCCACCGGCGCGCCGGCAGAGGCAAGGCCACCAGCGCGCCTACCTCCTTGCAACCTTTTTTTCCTTGGGGACACTCCAACCCGTGCTTCAGGGCACGGTGGCGGATGCCGGTGATCTCGTCGGAAGAACGACCCTGATCACGGCTGGTTGGGGGGTATCGCTGGGGTTGGCCTGGGCTGGCTGGAGGATTGGTTACACAGGGTTGGTCTGGGCGGGCTGGAGGGCTGGCAGGGGCATTTTTCCTGACAGGTGTTCTTTTACAGAGCACACGTGTAACAATTTTGTCAGAGGCCCGCGCTGATTTCTTGCTTGCGCACTGGGCATCCCTGTCGGCGCCTCTGGGGCCAACGCCGACGCCGGAGGCGCCCGTGGAAGAGGATCCAGCGCAGACCGGAGAAATCAGCTCGGGTATCCCATAGTTGTTGTCCACGCGGCTGTCTGTCGCGCCAGAGGGAGAGAAGAGACGGGGAGAGAGAGAGAGGGGGGAACAAAAAAGAGGGAGGGACAGAGCGGGAGAGGGAGGGACGGGTGGGCCACGACACAGGTGGAGGGAGGTGCACATTGGTCGGATCAGACATGTAGATCGGTCAAAGGGTGGCTGGTTGTCCTTGCTGCACGTGCGCGTGTTCATGCGTATCTATTTCGTTTGTGCCGCGTGTGTATCTTCATGTATACACAAAACTGCAGTGGCGCTTCGCGCCACGCACCTTTGTCCTTCAAGTTCGTCTTGCAGGCGGAATGGCAGGAAGGGCAAACCGACAATTTAACGATATTCATTCTCGCATGTTCCGGCATCGCCGTTGTAATAATGTTATTCGCGATTATATTTCCATGTTTATTTTCTTGATTTTCGCCATGCCATGCGCATTCTCCCCACACTCCTCAGCTCTTTTTGCGAAGGTTCCTCCTTGGAGAGCTGGGGCCCTCACGCAAGTTTTTCTGGCTTTGTGCAAGGCCTTGTGGAGGCCTCCTGGGCGTGTTCTG